GGGACAGTTTCTTCTTCTTCTTCTTTTTTATTCAAACAGCTATTTATATGAATGGCTCGCTCCGGTCCAAGGTTGTTGGATTTTAGGTTAGGGTTGTTCAGTTTCAGTGAATTGTACATTTGGGACGTTTGAATCCTATGAATTTCCTTTTTTCCTCCTTCAATTAACCTTGTAAATAATTTTAAATTGTTAAAAAAAATAGTTATTTATATATTTTTTATTAATATCTCGATATCTGATAATTATATTATATCTTAATTAATTTAAGATCAAATCACGTCAAATTTTATAAAAAAAAATTTTAACATTTATTTTTTCATTCATAATATTCAAATTTAAAATTTTATTTAAAAAAATCAAATTTTTTTTACTCAAATTAATAAGTTGTTATCAACTGTTATTTATACTTGACTTTAGCTAAAAGCCCATAACAGTAAGATTCAAACACTCTTTCATATAGTAAGCAAAAATAAAAAATAAAAAACTAAGAATACCTTAAAAAAAAAAAAACTACGTACTGAAAGAGATGAAGAGGAGGACAGCCGGACAACTTTCATTGATACATATATTTATTATTAAAATTAACTTTACGGATATAATAATTTATTGATATGAGTGGAAAGGAACTAGTTCTCTATAAGTAAGATAAGTAACATCTTAAATTTGAGTTTTAAGTTTGAGTTTTATAAATGGAGAAATAGGTGTTGAAAAAACTTCCTTTTAATGAGGTCTGACATAATTTGATTTTAAATTAAGGTCCCGTTTGGTATAGCGGTTTTGGGGTAGCGGTTAGCAGTTAACGGTTTTATCTAAATCGTTAAATATATGTGTTTGATAAATTTATATATTTTGAAACCGCTACAATTAAAGTGTTTGGTAAAATTTTTATTTAGCGGTTTGAGATTAACGAATAGCAGTTATGGTCTAAATCGCTAACGGATTAAAAAAGCTAGTTTATGTAATTTTTTGTATCAAATCGCTAACGAATTAAAATTTTTTAATTTAATTGATAAATTTATTCATTTTAATTTTTTAGTTTGTGGTCACATTTTTTAATTAATAATTATCTAATAAATTT